GACCGTCCACCCGCCGCGGACCAACACGCCTCGTACATGGCCCCACGAAGGCTCCCCGTGGCCCCTGGCCGGCCCCAGAAACCCTTTAAGATAGCACTGACTACCCCTAAGAGGGCCCCGCGACAGCCCAAGATGGCCCCAGACGGCCCAGCAAACCCCACTGAACCCACGATGGCCCCAAAACGGCCTGCATGGCGCCGCGGCCCAAGGGCCCCGAGGGCCCCGAAGACGCCCCCAGATGGCTCCAAGAGGATCCCCACACGGGCACCTGCAAGACACAAGTCCCCAATTCCCCATGCACCAGGGATAACGAACATTCGGGGCGAACTGCTTCAAAGGCCCTCAACATCGACCGGAGGCGGGCCAAAACGCCTCGCAGAGGGCCCCGCGACGGTTCCGCGCGGCCCCGTGGCGGCCCAAGAGACCCCCTGCTGACCCGAAGAAAAACGGCGAGAAGGGCCCAAACCTGCCCCAGATGGCGCCACTTCGTCCCAACAAAGTCGTTCACCAAACCAAGATGGCCCAACGCACGGCCCACAAGGCGCCGCAGACGGCCCAGGAAGGTCCTGAAAAGGCCCCCTGCACGATCCCAGGTGGCACACCAGTCGCCTGGAAATCAATGGTTCTCGTCCCCAGAATCTTTTCGCGATTTTTTAATTCTCCTCCTGTAGATGGACACGCCCGACTTGAGCCTTCTCCCTCTCGCTCTGCCCGCCTCGCTCGCCGCCGAATGAGGAGGGAGAGGAGGAAGAGGAGGAGGAGGAGGAGGAGGAGGAGGAGGAGGAGGAGGAGGAGGAGGCGGAGGACCCGAAAACCGGAGCCCCTTCCCGAACCCCTCCGGAGCCTCCCTCCTCCTCCTCCTCTCCTCCTCCTCCTCCTCCCTCGTCATCATCGTCATCATCGTCATCATCATCGTCATCATCATCATCATCATCGTCATCATCAACATCATCATCATCATCACCATTATCGTCATCACCACCATCACCATCGCCATCTCCAGCATCGCCATCACCGTCATCATCATCACCACTACCACTGCCACCATCATCATCACCAACATCATCATCACCACCATCACCAGTATCATCACCAACCTCCTCCTCCTCCTCCTCCTCCTCCTCGTCATCATCGTCATCATCGTCATCATCATCGTCATCATCATCATCATCATCACCATCAACATCATCATCATCATCACCATTATCGTCATCACCACCATCACCATCGCCATCTCCAGCATCGCCATCACCGTCATCATCATCACCACAACCACCGCCACCATCATCATCACCAACATCATCATCACCACCATCACCAGTATCATCATCACCATCACCATCACCATCACCATCACCATCACCATCACCATCACCATCACCATCATCACCATCACCATCACCATCACCATCACCATCACCATCACCATCACCATCACCATCACCATCACCATCACCATCATCATCATCATCATCATCATCATCATCATCATCATCATCATATTTCTTTTCCTCCTCCGCCTCCTCCTCCTCCTCCTCCTCCTCTTCCGTCCCCTTTCTGAGCTAGCCGCTGGGCGCGCCACCCGTGGCGTCAGGAGCCCGCGTTCGCCGCGGGCACGCATGGGCAGGCGCCTCGTCCGCCCTCCAGAAAGCCTTTCGAAATCCAGGCGGGAGGACAGCGAGGCGAGAAACAGAGCGTCGAAGTGACGCTCGACCAGGTCACTGAAGCGCCAGAGGAGCACCTCCTTCCCTCCCCCTCCTTCTCCCTCTCGCCCCCCCCCCACCCCGCTCGCCGCCGATGCTCGACTCCACCGGGTGATGACGAGGAGGAGGAGGAGGAGGAGGAGGAGGAGGAGGAGGAGGAGGAGGAGGAGGAGGAGGAGGAGGGGGAGGAGGAGGAGGAGGAGGAGGAGGAGGAGGAGGAGGAGGAGGAGGAGGGGGAGGAGGGGGGGACCGGCCGAGACCGCGGCGGCCCTCCCTCGGCGTCTCTCCCGGCCGCGTGCGCTCCCTCGGGCCCGCCCCTCCCCCCGAGAGAGGCCTCTCGTCGCCGCGGCGGGGCCCTCCTCGCAGAGCGCGCCCCCCGGCTTCAGGGTCGGGCGTGCCCCTTCTGCAGGAGGAACCCGCAAAGACAGTCCAACAAACATAGTCAGGGGGGCGATGTTTTGTTGAATATTCCTGGACTGTTTTTGAGCATTTGTTCCGTATCTGGCATTCTGTCGCAAAAGTCCGCCTGTAGGAGGACATGCCCGATCTAACCCTGGCTGGCGCTGCAATCGGGGTCCCTTGGCTGGATTCAACAGGGGGGTCGCGGGCTGACCCTTCGCCACAAAGAGGGGGAGGGGAAGGAGGAGCACGAGGAGAGGCGAGGAGGAGGACGCCGAGGAGAGATAAAGAGGAGGAGAGGAGGGGAGGGAGAGAGGAGGAAGAGAGGAGGAGAGGAGGGGATGATGAGAGGCGCACGAGGAGAGACGAGGAGGAAGAGGACGCCGAGGAGGAGAGGAGAAACTACAAGAGTCTCACGGATTGAGGGCCTGGTTTCGCTGGATGCGGCTGGGCGGGAGAGCCACGGAGGTCCCAGCTGGCCCCCTCCGATCTCCACGCCGCCGCCTTGCCTGGCCAGGGCTAGGTCGGGCACGCCCTCCCACAGGCGCATTTTGGACGACTAGTGAGAGACAGAGTCCAACAGGTCAAACACAATACTCAAACGTGCTCGAACAGGGTCGAAACGTCGTCCCCCGACTATCTTTTGGACTGCTCTTGAAACCTACCCCTGTCGAGGGACATGCCCGACTTGAGGCTAGGGATCCAGGGCCTGGCTTTAAGTCGGGCCTGTCCCCCTACAGGGGGATTTTCGACGAAAAATAAAAGATATCAAACAAATAATGAAACAAATAGTCCCCAAAAATGGTCTGGGGACTATTTTTTGAATATTGTTTGACCTTTTTGGGGAATTTTTTCATTCGCCCAAAATCCCCCTGTAGGGGGACACGCCCGACTTACGCCTGGCTTCGCCGAAGCCGGCTGGGCGGGAGAGCCACCGAGATAAAACCTGGGCCCTTGCGATCTCCACACCCTGGGACCCGGCGCGGCGCATCTCCACGCCCTCCTGGCCGGGGCCAGGATGGCATATATACACCGACCCCCCTGTCAGAGAAAGAACCGATACCCATACCTCTGCCCCCTCGCCCGTTTTCCTCCTTTCGGGCCTCCTTGGAGGCCCTCGTCGCCACCGCTGGATTCGCCTCGAAATCCTTGCCAGAACGCACCCCGGGAGAGGTCCCGGGGGCAGCGGCACCTGCACCCTTTGGTCTCCCCGCCCGGAGCCCAGGACCCCCCTGGCCGGGATCGGTGCAGGGGGAAGTTGCGCCCAGGCGTTGGCTTATATATGACAGAAACAAATGCCGCGCGCGTGGATGCAAATTGTAGCAGTGCGCAATCCGCGATTGATGGTCCCGGGGCCCAGCAGCGGGCGACCCACGGGCCCCAGCGAGGAGCACCGCCTGCTGACAAAGGCCATGCCCTCGGAGGTCTGGAGACGACGCCCCTTGGGGGCGAAGGGCATGGATCCGTATCCGCGGCCTCGCGGGCCAGGCCCATGGGCCGCACCCCTGCGGATGCGGGGCTTCTCTCGCGCATTCCCCGCGCGGAAGGTGTCCGTGCGGCCGCAAATCTGCGGGATGGCGCCCCGGAGTCCAGACCGCGAGGGCGCGGATACCCATGGATCCTGCGCCTCTCCGCCGCGGCAAGATGTACACGGACGCCCTCCGACGACTTGTGCGTGTACCTCCAGGGAGGGCGTCGGGTGTGTAAAGCCGCTGGCTCCCAGCGGTAATTTGTGCAAGGAGGAGGAGGAGGAGGAGGAGGAGGAGGAGGAGGAGGAGGAGGAGGAGGAGGGAGGAAGAGGAGGAGGAGGAGGCGGAGGCGGAGGGTCTCTGTGTGTATATTTTCTCATGGCGGGGCGTCGACTTTTCTCCGAGGCGAGGGCCCCCCCAGATCCTTCGACCCCCCGACCCAGGACGGGCTTCTCCGAAGGGGCCCTGGGACACACATAAATAGATACACAGGAACAGAAGGATTCCCCATCTTGTCCCATGTTTTTTTTTTTCCCCCTTCCCGCCCAACTCCCATATTTTCCCAATATCTTCGACGATGAATTGTGCCTGTGTGCTTTTTCCCCTCCTGCTTCTCGTCCCTGCTTCTCTTCCTGCTTCTCGCTTCTCGCTTCTCGCTTCTCCTCCTCCTCCTCCTCCTCCTCCTCCTCCTCCTCCTCCTCCTATTCTTTTTCCCCTCCTGCTCCTCGCCCCGAGCCCTTCGAGCACGGCCCCGCGGCCCGAGAGGCCGAGCGCCCCGAGAGGCCGAGCACACCGTGAGACGCCTCGCCCTCGACCCCTTCGGGGCGCCGGACGCCCTGAGCGAGGGCGCCCCCCCGGCTCCTCCTCCTGGGAGGAGGAGGAGGAGGAGGAGGAGGAGGAGGAGGAGGAGGAGGGAGGAGGAGGAGGAGGAGAAGGAGGAGGAGGAGGAGAAGGAAGAAGGAAGGAGGAGGAGGAGGAGGAGGAGGAGGAGGAGATGGACGTCCTGGTCCTCGGCCTGCAGCGGCCCGCAGCGCGCGTGCGAGCCGTTGCGGCCGCCGGCGTCGGAGGTCCGCGGGGCCGGCCGCGGGGCCGGCGCCGTGGCGGCCAGGGGCTCCAGGGCCAGCGTCTCGAAGACGGACCCGCTGGCAGGGGCGCCCCCGGCACGGCGCAGGTACGTGGCCGTGGCCATCGCTCTCGCTGGAGGCTCTGCCGAGGGCAGCGGCTCGGGCCAGGAAGCAGGCGACGCCGCCCCACCCACGGCCCCACGGGGCTCGGCGTGCCGCGGGAGGAGATCCGGCGCGGGTTTTTTTGCGTGGTGCGCGCTGCGGCCCCCGAGGGGCCGCAGCGCAGCGTGGGGGATCGCAGGCGGGATGGTGTCGTTTGCTTTGTGGTCAGCAGCTCTCCAGACCCTCCGATCCTGGCGTTGCATTTGTTTCATGACGGGGGAGTTTGCCTTGCATCAGGCCCCAGGACCCTCACAGATCGATCGGGCTCGAAATGACTCGAACATGACGCAGAGAGAGGGAGTCTGGGGCTCAGGTCGTGATTTTGGTGCAATGCTTTTCTGTTGTTTTGCAACGTCGGATCTCAAGGGATGGGGTTCGGAGGCCACTTCTGGGAGGTTTTCGCAGAAGCGAATGAAGGCTATGAAGCCCGAGTGAGGCACAATGAACAAGACTGGGCCAAGTTGAACTGAGGACTAAGCCGGATGAAACCAACTTGGGCAAGATTCGACGAGATTAGGCCGGCTTTCGACCACGGGTATTCCAGCGCCGATGATGACTTTAGCCTCCAAGGAGTTGCATCCTAAAGGGGGGAACAAAAACTGCGCAAACATAGACTTTCGGAATTCCGCGCTGATTTCTCGGGTCGGCGCTGGACCTCCGTCCCCCAGCGTGCGCCCGCGGGCGGCGCCACAAGCGCCGCCAGGGGGGGCATCTCAGACCCGTGAATTTTTTCTGCGGATCTTTCAAAGGTTGTGTTCAAGCCGCTTATTGTTCCCCAAGGCTCGCAAAATGCGCAGACTGTCAGTGGCAAAGCGCAAAGAAACACTGCAGCCAAAACAGCAGCGGAAGGATGGAGGAGTGTGAGGAGTGGGCTGGCGAGGACTATCAGCGGTGCTTCCATAAGCGTTGCCTTCCCTTTAGGGGTCACCGACAATGTCTCCAGCCATTCTCGATCATGAGAGGCTGTCGCGAAGTGCGTGCAGCGGCTCAACGGCCAATCTCTTGAATGTTGAATGCTTCTGTACTGCAGGCAGGAAAGTCGCGCGACCACTACCGCACAGGCGAAGGGCTCTGCCCGGTGCTGGCGGCGGAGTAGGTGCAGCAGCACTTCCCCGAGCGCTTCACGATCGAGAGGTGCCAAATCACGCCCTGCGGACTCGCTGAATTCGGAATCTCGATCGGTGAACTCTTTGCAGGATTGCGTGTGCCATGACCTGGAATGCTGCCACTGCGCTGCTCATTTACACGTGCACTCGGTGAAAATTGCGATGTACTTCCAAGCTTGTGACCGGCGTATAGCTTCACTGGAAAAGTCCTCCTCCTCAGCATGACGAGCGTCGGCAATTTCGCAAATTCACCACTGCTAAATATCAGCGGTGCCCATTATACATAACAAACGAACCTGAAAACCTGTGCACCAGATCCCCCAAATATGGTTGCGCCATACCCACACATCTTCGCCTCGTCAAGAGGCCTCAAAACGTCCCAAGGGGATCTCCAGAAGAGTTCATGGGAACTAAGCATGTTGAAGTCACAGCATGATTTTCTTCCCAGGATGAGTTCAGAAATGCCCCAGAGGGCCCCGACGTAATTCCAGAGAGCCCAGAGGAGCCCACAACACAGCCCAAGACGCCACGACGACCCCAACAGGGCCTCACAAAGGGACGCCGCCCAAATGGGGCCCGCGTAGATGGGGTCGGAAGATTGTGCCGCATCACCGACGCATCGGCGATGCACAGGCGACGCTGGGATGGAGAACATCCGGCTCCAGATCGAGCCGCATCGGCGACGCGGCGCGATCCTCCGACCCCACCCGCTCCAGCCCCACTTGTTGGTGGTCCCCAAACGGTGCGGTGGCAACACCGCTCTCCGAAAAGATCTCGCGTCTCGGGCAGCTGGAGCCTCGAAGGTCCCACAGCCGTGCGGTGACGGACCCTGTGGTGAGGCCTTCTGGGACTTCGAGTCCACCGCACGGTCTGTCACCGCACCGTTCGGGGACGCCCCCATGCTTGGGCGACTGGGGCCCAAGCGGAGCGGCCGCGGGGTCTCCTGGTACAGGAGGACGGACAAACCGCATCAACGAACCGACCCAGGAAGAAGGGACTTGTCGAAACTGGCTCAGTCGGGGCTCAGTGGGACTCCCAACCAAGACTCTGGATAAAACCCAAGCCACCATCTTGGGGGGGCTCTCCGTTGCGAGACTTAGTCTCCTCCGAAAGGCTTCTCATGTACCTTCTACCCTCCAGCGCATGACTGGGAAGGAGGAGGAGGCGGGGGAGGAGGAGGAGGAGGAGGAGGAGGAGGAGGAGGAGGAGGAGGAGGAGGAGGAGGAGGAAGAGGGGGAGGGAGACGAGGACGGCCACGGTGATCCGACAAATCTGGCATTCAGAAGTGCCTCAAACACCGCGCCCCTCTTCGGGCGAGCCGGGCTGGGCCGCAGTGCCAGAGACGGCCCCCTGCAGACCCCCTCTGTGGAACCCCGACGCAGGCCCTGGGGAAGTACAGTCATCGTGCTACCATGACGACCGCTGCATAAGAAACGCTTTTGGCCACGGCGAGCCGTGCCCACGAACGACCTAGATCGAGGGAACGGCACGAAAATTAGAGCCCATCCTGCGCCGGAGCTGTCCTTACTTGAATGTCTTGACTGCACCAAGGAAGGTCAGGCACTGGGTGAGGCGCCGAGAGAAGCCCCGAATGAGCCCCCGTAGGAGGCGGCGCGACAACCTTGCAACGATATACGGCTGCGACGCGCAACAACGTCGTGCCGGTGCTGCTTCCCGAACGCTCCGAGGTTGTTCCGATGAGCCTGTACAGGAGAGTTCGGTGGAACCACTCTGCACGCATTTCAATGCTGCACTGGCGTGATGGCAAGGTTTCCCGCAGGCGGCTGGTAGCAGTGTTAATGGCAATCGCATTCTCATTCGGGCTGGTGGTGGTGGTAATGGTAACTACTTTCAACAGTGGTAGCAACAGGAGGAGGCAGAGGAGGGCCTCCACTACACGAGAGGACACAAGACCCTTCCGAGGGCCACATTGCCAGAGGGCCACATTGCCATAGGAATGTGGAAGGCATGGGCCGCTAAACACAGGACACAAGAGTACCCTTGATCTGGCAGGGGCAACCTCTAATCAAACTCGACTTTAGGGGGCGCCCCAGGGCCCATGAAGGCATGGCGTGGAGGCCGTGGCCTCCAAAACATAATGCGCGCGCGGGTTCACGTGACAAAGCCACCCTTGAAACAAGTCGTTGATGCCGATAATGTTCATGTGGGCTCCTCCTCGTCGTTCTGAAGAGCGGCTGGGTCTTTTCCGGATTAGCTGGGGGTAGCGATACAGGGGCGACTGGCTCAGAGGGGTGAACATCGACCTAGGACCGGCGACACATTGCCGCTAGATCCGCGACAGGCCCCCGATAGCGAGTGCGCACTCGCTCCTGGGCGGGATGGTCTACTGGGCCCCTATCCAGAAGAAGAAACGAACAACATAAACGTAAACTTCTGGCGCTCCGCGTGAATTTCCTGATCCGCGCCGGACCACCCTCCCTTGCGAGCGGAGCGCGCCAGGGGCGGCGCCGGAGGCGCCGCCAGGGCGCTCCAGCCCAGCACAAATTTAAGAAATCCGCGCGAGCGCCACAAGTTCATGTTTAGCGCGTTTTTTGCTGTTGTTGTCGTGTTCGTCGTCGTCGTCGTCGTGATTGTTGTTGTTGTTGTTGTTGTTGTTGTTGTTGTTGTTGTTGTTGTTGTTGTTGTTGTTGTTGTTGAACATTATTAATTCTAAAGAATAATTATTGTTGGGCCCCCTGGTGCGCGCCCCCCCCGCCGCGCCTAGGCCGCAGCCACGTTTTCATCATTTTCGTGAGGAAGCCTCAGGTAATTCGAGGTGATCAAGATCCGGTTGTTTTGTTGTAATCCGTTTTCCCTTGCAAAAAACACTATAAAATGACATTTCTTGTTCTAATATAATCAAATTTCAAGAATCCCTTGCAAAAAATAAGGTAAAGTGGACATTCGCGCGCGCAAGACGAAATCCTTCCAAAAGCTTAGTGTTCGGAGCGATTTTAACATAAAAACATCAAAAAACCAATGGTTTTTCAACAAAAAAATGTCAAAATCTCATCCCGCGCGCTCTTGCGGATTCGTAGGAAACCCAACACTTTTTAAACATTTCTGTCAAACGGGCTTTTGCGAGCAACTTTTTCGAACTTCTGCGACAACGGTTGCGCACCTGCCAGGGCCATCATCCCTGTCAAATAATACCATGCGGGACACATTCGTTTTTTCTTCGCGCGCGCACGCCGAAATCTCCAAAAACCATTGGGTTCTTAAGAATTTTAGCACCGCGCATCATAAAATCACACGAATCGCACCGTAGGTCCTCGAAAAACACCTGCACGACTTTTCAAAATTTCCACCCGCGCGCGCTGTCCGAATCCTAAAAAAAAACAATGGTTTTCCAACATTTATGTTACATGAGCTCGCGCGAGCTACTTTCGCACGCTCTTGCAACGGGGTTCGCGCGCCTGCCAGGGGCCATAATCCCTTGCGGTTGCGCCATAGGTTGCGCCCTCGGCCGCCGAGAATAAAACGCCCCCCTATTGGTTGCGCCATAGGTTGCGCCCTCGGCCGCCGAGAATAAAACGTCCCCCTACTGGTTGCGCCATAGGTTGCCCCAGGAGGCCTTCAAGAGGCCCCAAGAGCCCGCCGTGAGGACCCAATAAGCCCCCAAGAGGCCCCAAGATGCTTCCAAGAAGCCCCCCAAAGCCCCTCAAGAGGACCCCAAGCGGCGCCAGGAGGTGTGTACTCCACGCCAGTGTAGTAGCCACGGTCGTCCGCAGGCCACGAAGTGAAGTGTCCGAACGTCATAGGGCGGGAAGCTGGGTGTGGGTGGTGGCGACGAGTCGTGTGGATATTTGGTAGAGCTTGCACTGCCCCCCACAAAGTGGGGGTATTGGCTGGCGTCGCATGAAAACCCTGGCACTGGTGAGAACACTGAGCGTTCGGGTAAAGTGATTGTTGTTGTTGTTGTTGTTGTTGTTGTTTGTGTTCTTGTTATTGTTATTGTTATTGTTCTTGTTCTTGTTATTGTTCTTGTTCTTGTTCTTGTTGCTGTTGTTGTTGTTGTTGTTGTTTCTGTGTTTTCTTCTGCGATATCGGCAAGGAATTCGGCGATTGGGGTCCATGCGTCCCCCCTGAGCCTATCG